GAGCAATGGTCCCTCAACTAAAAATACATTACCATTAGTCCCTCAACTCATCAAAATGTAGTTATGGTCATTTTCGTCAACTTCATCAGAATTTTATCAAAATAAGTTATGTTGGAATGATCATTGCTACAATTGGTGTCCCTCCAATCATCAAAACGTGTAACTATGGTCATTTTCGTCAAGTTCGTTAAAATTATGTCAAAATAAGTTATGCTGGAAGGACCATTGCTACAATTGGGTAAAAGTTTAGGGATTATTGCTCCAATTGGCTTAAAGTTGAGGGATCATTTCTTCAGTTATATTAAAGTTGAGGGACCAATAGTAATAAATTTTTAATTGATGAACCATTGCTCCAAGTAAATTAGAGTTAAGGGATCATTGGTACAATTTACTCTCAAATTAATTCTTGGCACACTTCCCAATCCCATCTTCCCAAATCGATTCACCAGAAACAAACAACTGAAAAACAAACCGAACCAAACAAACATAAATTATGTTACTCATCTCTCAAAACCCCCGAAAATACCCAAATTCAATGTCATTTTCCGTCCTTTTTGTCCCATCATTTCTCATACAAATTCGAATTCCGATGGCCGGAACCCTATTCTCGAAGCTCTCTGACGACTTCATTCTAAATATCCTTTTCAAGCTCGAGGGGGACCCGTGAAACTGGGCTCGGCTCGCCTGCTCATTCACCAAGTTCTCCCCCATGATTGGAAGACCAAGTGCTACAAGGTCATCCCCTCCGTCGTCACCGATCTCCTTGGCAACTCCTCCATGCCTCCTGGCAACTAGGCCGCCCTTCACAAGCTCACTGTCTGCTGCCCCGACCTCCTCAACTCAGGCGATCTCTTCGAGAACTCCGGCTTTGGGATCCAGCGCGAGCTCGGTCCCGACGAGAATTAGTGGAGATAGGCACATCCACAAAAACGGCACCTCTACGACGCCGTACGTGCCATAATTCTACCCAAAAAAAACCCTAGGTAGATGGAGAAGGGAGAGTTTTAACTTAAGGGTAATTAAGTCTTTTTCACTTCAATTTGGTTAATTTTATAACAATTAAAAAAAGATAGGCTATATTTTATTAGGTAGTTCTCAACATGGCTATATTTCCCTGTATATTATGCTTTATATTATTTCTAATAAACAAAATATATACACCTAAAAGTTAATGTTGGTACCACAAGATTCCATAGTTAAGGATTGCAGCATTACCTTACAACAAAGTGCACAATTTCTTCTTCCCGCTAGCTTCCTTCGATTTGTGACGGCTACCGATGTGGTGCTCGGTGGAGGATTTTGGGGCTCCGTTTTGGGGTCCTATTGTGGCTTAGTTTTCAACCAACTTTGGGGCTCTGGTTAGTTTGATTTCAGATGTGTGCAGGGGATCTTCGTCCGGCAAGCGAGTTGGCGGCGTCAGCAGTTGGAAGCTGTTAGGGTTTGTTTTGGTGTTCTTTCTGTTTCGGCCTCAAAACTATGTTTTGGGCTTTTGAGTTATTATAGAGGTCCTTGTTTTTGTTTGTGTGTATTTTATTTTGGGGTCTTTTCTGTTGTAATATGTTGTTTTATATAGAAAGTAAACCCTTGACCCAAAAAAATAAAAAATAAGTGCACAATTATTATAATATGTATACAGTGATTATGGTAGTAAAGTATCTTAAACCACTATCGTTTTGAACACAACTAAAGTTAAGTGGGATTTTTATTCAACATTTGATGAGTACTTATTTTAATAGTCACTGATAATTAAACTACGATTTAGTATCTAATAGATGATTAAAAAGTAAATATAAAAGTTGCAAAAATGCCAAGTGTAATACGTACATTGTGGTGGCCGGCAAAAGTTGAGACCATTCGAAAAGAAAAAGCAGAATGTGCCATCTCTTTAGCACGTGTTGAGTTGGGGACTCAGCTAGGTGTCACATGGAGAACTCATGAACCACATGCCTCTGTCAGATTTACGGGTTTGGGTGGAGATTCCATGAAGTACGAGTTTTCTTTTATTTCTTTAATCTCAATTAGATATTTAAGGAAATTTTTCCAAAGTTGAAAGAGTGGGGGGATCTGGATCATTGAAATTTGATCCAACGGTTATAAACATGAGCTCACTTTAAAAATTTTAATAACTTTAGCTATTAGATCAAATTTTAATGGTCCGGATCTCCTAATTTGGTGGATTAGGAGGAAGGGATCCGGAGAGGATCCATTTTCCAAGTAGAACTGCTAAACAAAGAAAGAAATCAGCTAGACCTAGCAACTCTAGAAATATCACTTAGAAGTAAACCAACAATTGAAGGAAGATGGTCATCCAATATAATACAGCCCAAGTCCAAACAAAAATTTAGTTTTTCCAAACCATCAGCCAACATGTTCCTTTCCTTATAAATATGGCTTAAATGACATTGATCAAATTGAGAAATCAGGTGATGACATGTGTTGGAGAATAGGGTCTATCATCGGTCATCTAACAAATTATATAAATTTAATATGTAGAATTTTCCACTGTTAATATCAGTGAGGCATTTTGTGATAAAATCCAATACCTTACAATATGTGGTTAAGTTGGGAAATAACTTACTACTAAATAACTAAGCCTTCGAAATATGGTGCATTGTCTCAAGTAATGAACTACTGAATACCGATTAGACTCTCGAAAAGTCATGTGTTAGCTCTAATATAATGACTTGACCAATTCCTAATGTGGGAATTGGTTTTCTTTGTGACCCCCTATGGGGCGACTCATGAAGAAGCATTTTGGTGTATAGAATCTTACATTGGTCGGTCATATGACAAATATATACAATTAATATATGAGAGCTTTCACTCCTAATTGCATTGAGACCTTTCATGATAAAACCCAACAAGGAGTTTTCAGTCCTAATATCACCGAGACCTTTTATGATAAAACCTATACCTAACCATAAGTGATTAAGTTGGAATAACATGGATGATGTTGGTATTGAACCATGTTGGGCCTTAAAATTTATCATCATCCAAATAAAAAATCCATAGATGCAAATCATGAAACACATTTAAAGAGTGACAAAATTAATTAAGTAGGTGCATCATTGGACAAACAACTCTGTCTCATGCCTCATGGCATATTAAATTTCCATCCATTGTCTCGCCTGTCTGCCTGTCTCAGATCTTGTATCATATCGATCGATCCTCTTTTCTTTTGGAGTTATCAAGGAACAAGAAGAGATGGTTTCTTTCAGATGGCAAATCTAATTAATATAAATTAGGACACTAGAGAACCCTAGAAACCCTAATAATTTATTCAGTCTCGCACTTCTCCCTTAGTTTGTCTCCAATTGCCAAGAAATCCTCACAAAATACTGCCAAACAACTTCACATATTGGAGCTCAGTCATCCTCACGTGTGGGAAAATGATCCAAGCTCATTTGAATATATGTTAAAACCTTCGGCATGATCCAGACTTAATGGGGATGCTTAACGACAAATTAACCATGGAAGGATGAGCCGTGGGTGCTAAATTTACTGTGGTCCCCGGTAAAAAAGTATGCCCTCGGTTGTCAAAGAAAACCCTAGCTACCCATTGACTAACATAATTAACCTCATGATCTACGTGAGTGATGGCTAATGTGGGTTTTTTAAATTAATTAAGAAAATAACTAGCTAAAGTATGCATGTGTATCCATGGTTAGTTAGATGACAAGCAGACAAACACAGAGAGAGAGAGAGAGAGAGAGAGAGAGAGAGAGAGAGAGAGAGAGAGATTGACAGTAAGAGTACAAGATGTCTAATGCTCAACCAAACTGCATAGTGATAAAGAGTTGCATAAATATGGTTTGATATCCAAGTCCAATATAATTAGTACTAATTACTTTGGTTCCAGGATTGATAATAAAACTTGAAAAGATGGTTCTCAAAACCTTAATTATGCATTCAATTTCTCATGTAGATTTTAGTCACATCAGTAATATGTAATCAAAACATGGCTTAACTAACAATTGATGTCTTGAAAGTAAATTTCATTTTTATAAGGAAAAACCCTACATGGCATTTATGTACACTAACAAATAAAATTTTAACTGAGAGAGTTTTTTTTTTTTTTTTGGGATCAAATATTGATGAAATGAGATTACAACCAAAGGTAAAACTATGGTGGTTGAAGCTATAGGAGATTAAGTAAGCTGGATTACACATCAGGACACGTTCTCAGTCAGAATTTGCATCACTGCTCGGAGTAAAATTAACAACAAGCATCAAAGTTTGTTTTGACGAATTCCAAAATTTGGCCGGACAAAGCACCTTCGGATAGACTCTTCAAATTATTCTTTTCATATTCAAAGGAAGGCGGAAGGAGATAGGTTTGAAAGTAGTTTTAATCTAAACAACCAGATCGTACTCAAATGAAAACCAGTTCTCAAGAGAAAATGCATAGATATGATCTCCAAGTCTTTTTATTATATATTATCAGTAAAAAACCAAACCTAAAAGCGAATTGAAACAATTGTTTTCCCCAAAGTAAAGATGGATCCATGTATAAAACCCTAAGCATATCCAATTTCTCCCGTAATCGATCATATCAGATCTAACTCGATCATACCAGAAAGATTGTGATCGGAACATGACTTAATTATCATCAAAATTGAGATGAGATTATGCACATTTGATTTTTGAGTAGATTTCATAATTAAAGGGCAAAAAAACTTAATGGCAGCTTGCACTAATATCTGATGCTTAATTAATCAGATGCATATGGTCGGTGATTCCAGTTTTTGTTGGGATGTTAGGGTTTCCATCGCCCTATATATGACATAAATTAGGGGGAAATGCATATCCAGATCCCATTCACTAACCCTACGCTTGAATTTAGGTTGAGGACAAAATTGAGAAGGAAAGATTAGCAAGATAATCTATGTTCAAGATTTCACAAGTTATTTACTTCTTGGTCACGACTTAGAAAATTAATAACAAGTAGGAATACAGCTCAAAATGTATATCTCATACAATCACCTGCAATAAACTTCATATGAATTCGCTATAAAAACCTTCATATATATATTTGAATTAAAAGACAAATAAGTCAATGGATTAACTCCAATTTCTCATCATTCTTGAGCTAATTACAGTCAACCAAAGAAGGAACCCAAGACTTTATGAGCACACATGATAACAAAATCCAAAAGCCTAAAATTAAACCTCCCCACTTAATTTTATATGGTCAGTACCTTCAACACATGAAATTTAATTAAGATCTAGTAGTACTAATTACTTGAAAAGTATATTAATTACCTCGCATAATTCATATGATCAGTACTCAAAATCGCCGGGAGAGCGAGCTATTTCCCCTTTCCATATATGGAGGATTAGACATATCTGCTGCCGCTGTAGGAAATCTTGTCCTTGGTGGTGAAACTTCAGCTTTTTCCTCATTACTATTAGCCTTACCTTGGTGAGCAGCCTTCTCTCCTTCCAATTCTCTGTACCTATGCAAGTACCTCTTCAGCGGTTCCGCGTAATCATCGAATCCAAGAGTTGCCAGAGCCCAGCAAATGTCATCCCCATTCACTGTCTTGCGCTTCTCTTTGTGGCACTTGTCAGATGCTTCTCCAGTCACAAAACTTATGAACTCAGAAACACATTCTTGCATGGTTTCTTTGGCTTCTTTCGAGATTTTTGCATTGGGGGGCAAAATCTGCTTCATGATCCGCCCAACATTAGCAATTGGAAGCAACCGATCTTGTTCCTTGATGACCCCCTCTTGATTATGAAGATGGTGGTGATAATCACTAGAGACATTACTACTACCACCTGTGAAATTGTACTTAAACCCTTCTCTATCAGCTGATGAATTATTGTTTCCTATATTATCAACCATCTCTATATTATGAAATTTTGATCCTCTCAAACACAGACACGTCGCTACCTAGCTCCTCTTTCACTTGCTAATTACTTGAGCTGCTTTATATAGAACCTTAGATGTCCATACAGGCATACTTATGTACATATGCACCATATCATATCATAAGATGACATGGCATGCCTCTACAAATACCTGGTCAGCACAACAGGCAATTCTCTATGTTGGTATAATTGGCTTCTCATTTGTTTATTCCCTAATCTCACTCTCTCCCTCTCAAGTGAGGAATTTTTATCTGTACTATGAACATTTGTTATGTGATGTATTATTTCACGTGTTATAATATGAGTGAGCGACAAAGTCGATATTTCCCATTTTTAGAGTATATTAATAATAAAAACATATACATCTATCATAATTTGACTGAAATAATAATACCAAGTGTGTTAGAATACATCAAAAAATCTCTCCTTAGATCACTCTGTGTTTAGAGTTTTTTTGTGGAAGCACGAAGCACTACTCCTAAGTAAAAGCGTTGGAGAATAGTGAAGGACTCAAACATATCAATTATGGAGAAAATGGTCCCCCCTTGGTCTTTCGTCGATCTGTTTTGATTAAAGCTCAATAAGATTAACAACTAATAATTAGTCTTTAAATAATGAACTGAATTTGAATTTGTGGACAAAAGTCATGCACATGTAGTTGTTGCACTACAGATACAAACGAATTAAAACCTAAAAAGAATGGACTAATTGTAAATTATAAACCCTAGTGATTACCTACTGCTAGCTCTCTAATTAAGGTTTTTACATGAGATTAGGTCACTCTAACAACAGCAAAACCTAGTTATAATCAACTTTTTACGGTGACAGCCACGTCCAGGAATTCTGGATTGATTTACAACATGCATTGATGATTCGTTTGCCTAATAAGAGCACTATTATTGTTAGGTTATGTAGGGGTTGGCATGTGGCAGTTCGCGGTAGTTGATCTAGCTAGGGTTTAAGGTTTTATATAACCATGGATACAATTTACTTGGTGCAAATCAATTCACATGTCCTAATCTTGATTATTATGCTTAATGGAGAAACCTCCCCGCACCCACCCTTGTGAAAATGACTTAGTTATATATAATTTATTTGGGCTAGTCACTTTGCAAAGGTTCAATGATCTAATTATATTTTCATTTTATAATTACTAAGTTTCTTTTTAAGTATGCAACTTAGCGATAAGTATAGATGATTAATTATACATCTCAAAAATCAAAGAATCATCTGGAAACAGGAAAGGAGGCAAAAGAGGGTCGTGAAATTATTCGATGCTAAAGTCTTTTGCAATGAAATCCGATTCGTTTCGTTAAATTATGATAGACGTTAAACAGAGTACTGAGCAAATTGTCTGTAACCATACATTTAATTTCTTTTTAACATATGTATTAGTGTTTTCAAATTGTCCTCGACAAATCATGAGAATGAAACATGTATGACACTAGTACTCATATGCATATGTTGAAGAACATCAAGTCATAATACTCAATTAATTAAATCTAAGTAGCCTATGAATGGAAAAACATGTGCAGTCAACGACAACACAAACCCGTTGATCTGTGCAGGAAAACATTATGTGTTGCTTTGGTTGTTCTAATAAAAAGTCATAGACACTTATCTTAACCTATGCAGTCACATTTCTCCATATAATCTTGATCGTGAGACGACCTAGTTGCCTTAAAGGGGATAACACTAATTTATAGATAAGCTGAGGTCTGCCTGAAGATGAAAAGGACAATAAACTTGCCAAATTGGGCATTTTATATATAAATTAGAGCCAGACATAGAGAACAGAAAAAAACTAAGAAATGACACTTATTTATGAAGTCCTTTGAATATTAATTTGTAGGGTAAATTGGAAGCTAAGACTTACACAATATATCCCCTTCACTTCCTGTCTGAATGATATAATATAGCTAGCTAATGAAGAAAATTCAAAACATTATGTAGTTCAATAGTTTTTTTTTTTTTTCTGAAAAACCTCAACAATACAAGGAAAATTTATTGATATAAAAAAAAAAAGTTACACCTAGTCAAAAGAAGACATACACCTTACCCGTCATAAAGCAAGAAAAATAAAATACAAGAAAAAAGCGGGACATAAACTTTATCTCTCTTGAAAAGGAAAATACAAGAAAAAGAGGGAGTGGACATAGGACCAAACCCCCTTAAAATAAAATTTAAAAGGAAAGAACCTGCAAGACAAGTTGCAAAACAAAAAATGGAAAATCTAAAAAGATTAGGTGAAAAAGAAAATCACACATCAAGAAGGGAAGTCCAAGATGAAGTTGTATGCAATGTTTTCAATACATGAAAATGCATCAAGAGATATTATAATATGTTGCATGAAAAACATTATGGATTAATATATATATGCGTTTTGTTTAGTACATTCTCAAACCTTTTAATTTGTGACTTTGTTGTTTGAGAAAGCCCTCATCCATTCAGATCTCTAGCTTCGTCTCTGGCGATCAAGGAGGAGAAAAATAACTAGAAGCAAAACAAGATATCACTCTAGAAAAGTCACTTTCAAGCTATAAATTTTGCCAATCTACAGGAACCAACTCCACAACAAGAATGATAGCATGAAGCTTGTCTTTGATATGTGGGAAGTAGCCCAACTCCTTACAAATGTTTTTAAAACTTTTGATAACAAACGTTTCTTCACATCCTCACTGTCGCTGCATGTACTTCTTCTTTAATTTTACAACTTACATTACTTCTTTGAGGATAGAACATATTGGATGGTGATAACAAAAGCTAAAGCTTAACAAGGCTGCAACTTTTTACATGCATATTCGTAATTAAATATATACTTCTTGAAATTAAAATTTAACAATGTCAAAAGAATATATCCCAGGCAATAATATATGCCACCACATCTTTGTAATATATATATATATATATATATATATATATATATATATGTGTGTGTGTGTGTGTGTGTGTGTGTGTCGTCCCATGGTTACTGCTAGTGGCAAAAGGGTGCTGCTTTTGGAGTTCAAACTTAAACCAATGTTTCTGCTTCTTCCCCGTACGATTTCTCAGCGTGAAACCACTGTTTAGAGAACATGAATATTTGTGGTTGTTCAATGAAAATATATACCTACTCTCAAATCTGGTCGATCAGCAGGCAGATCGTGCAAAAAAGTACAAGGATAAGGACACACACACTCATGGCTCTCATATCTTCCAAGTATGCTATTAGCTAGTCTTTTTGGTTTTTATTAACTACCACGAAAACTAATTAGGCTTGAGAACCCTAATTCCAATATTTCTTACTTTTCCAGCACAATCATCATCGTTTGCGTGATTATTTTGGGAACTCGGTGGGGTAGAACATACATTTCTCTCAATCAACTAATGATGTGAGATAAAGACAGTTCTGAGTTTTTAGAGGTTTAGAAAAATGCACGTCGTATTGTCATATACAATTTGGGGCCACACCTTCCTACTTTCGTTGGATTCTCCAATTTGCTTGCTCTAGTAGGCATCTTTGTTGCTCCGATTAATTTTTTTTTTTAAATTAGGGTTTTGGTACGTAAAGTACTGCCATTATATTTCCTGTTTCACAATTTTAAATATAGGATTCTCCTTTCTTTAGGTACCTTAACCAAAGCATGACTAATCACAAGAATTTAGGAAAATCAATATGAAGAAACAAACGAAATCGCACTCAACTTTTGTGATGGCAATTTTGACATTTCTCTTTTAATTATTTGCTCTTCAAAGCGTATATAAGTGACCCAAAAAAAATCACATAATTAACCAATATAATATACTCTTGAACCATTTTGACGAACATAATGGCCTAGTGTATGTGTGTGTGTGTGTGTGTATATGTGTGGCACCACTTTTTTTTACACATGTTTTTGTGGAGTTGACTTCGTAATGTATTTTAACGATCTGAACTGTCTTTCTTTTACGTATTCCTTAAAAAATCATGTCTCAAAAATCATCTCAATCTGAAACTATATAACTATTGGATTAGGAGTTTAGAGTTTCTTTATAGAACCGTATTCGTCTATTTTATTAACTACAAATAAATGTCTTAATGGCAAGGTTCTAAAAATTGCTAGGCGTGACAGGAGCCTAGCGGCTAGGCAGCCTAGGTGGATATATGTAAATTTATTATATATCTTGTAAAGAAGTGCCTATTTACACCTAAAAAAACTATACTTGTATGAATAATAAAAGAATGGACTAAATTCTTCTTGTTCATGATCCTAGCATTGGATTGGACATAGACTAAATTATTTAACCTTGTTGTATCTAGTTTATTTCTTTTCTTTGTATGTATCCCCTCAAAAGTGCTCCAATTTGTTTCACTATTGGATGAACTTGTAGTAAATCCATCATTTGCAAATTAGGTACACCATTTCCATAAGTATACCACCATGAAACCAAAAATGAAAAAAGCACACAATTAATAAATAAATAAATAATATATATCCTAGGAGCCGCCTAGGACCGCCTTGCCCACCTAGCTCCAGATTGATTTTTCGAACCGATTTGCCCAAAATCGGGGCGGGACTTCACTGTCTAGGGCCTAGGCGCCATCTAGGCCGTTTTTTAGAACACTGCTTAATGGTTTTGATTTTGTACCATTTTTTTGCAAAGATGTAAAACGATGAGAACCATCTCTCATTGTGTGATTTCCTTATCACAAATGCAAAGTTCAAGACTTAGTACCTAAGAAGCAAAATTTTAAAACTCAAAATATCATCAATTAAAACTAGTTTACTAAGTTGTTTCATTGTACAAAGTATTAAAAGAAAACCCAGATAACATTTTTTGGTAAAACCCAATTGTTTTATTGAATGATTACATTAAGGCTAAGAGAATTTGAGCTAAGCCAGACAATGAGCTTACCACGGTAATTTTGCATCGAACTCTCCTTTCATGGGAACCGGGCCTAAAATCTCTGAATTACAAGACTGTAATACTAGTGCATAGTGAAAAAACCTAAATTATGTTTTCCTTTGTTGGTTTTGAATATTGAAGGTGTGCCACCATCCATTGACGACATACTAATTCTCATCCCTATATAGCCCGGTGCAAAT